TTTTGGACAATTTTATTCTCGCTCCCTTCGCAAAACTATTGCGTCAATTTAATTGTATTTTTCATATAATGTGCTTGGATTATCCTAAATTCTAACAGTGTATTTTATTTTAAGATTTTGAAATGTTTAGCCCATTACGGCCGAAAATCAAACAGTGCTATTTTTAGTTTTTTGGCTTTTTTCTCCTCATCCCCAGGTACGATTTTTCTGAAATTTTCAGAATCTTATCATCTAGTACTATTGTAGCCTGTGTATAAACTTGGATGGAAAGTCTTGGGCAGAAAAGAAGTTATGACGCTGCTTGAAAATTCTATCCAAAATTTGAAGCATATGAAACATCGCGCTTTAGAAACATTACCATTGAATGGATTGCCTTGAAGTTTTCACATACCCATTTCCAAGTATTGCGGATGAGCCTTACGAAAAATCAGCATCAAATCTTAATTAAAAACTCATTGAATAAATGTTTTTTTACTAATTGTCGTTGTAAACCTCAAAAATGAGAGTTTTGCTAAAAATCACATTTACGCCGTTTTCTTCAAATCGGCTCCAAGTTTTTTCTTTAAACTTCCTACATCAATAGACCAGAGCTTTATCTAAATGGTAGTGAAATTTCTACAGCTCGTACTATCCACATTTTGGAGAAAACATTTTTTAAAGTGAGGCGTACGAAGTAGAAATACAAAGTTAGCTTACAACTCCTCTCATTATCTAACTAAGATTTTTTCATTGTCAGTAGATCATAGCTTAAGAGAAACTCGTAACTTGAAACAACAGACTCACCAAAAAGACTGTTTTTGCATAATCATTGAGCTATTCACGCGAATAACCCACTTAAAATCGAAACTACTTTAAAGTTAGCTTTATATTACGCAGTTACTGCTTAGAATTTTTCCCACTTGATCGCTCTCAATCTTTCCGAACGCCGTGGAGGTTTTAATATTTTACCTCCATATTTGTCTGAATCATGATTTTAGTATTTTCCTTGTACTGACATTCAAAACAAACCATCTTGCAGTAACCATCATAAGCTCACAAGTTCTCTTTCAGTTATCGGTTTCAACACAAGTGGATAGCACAGGCTATCAGTGAAATTGTATAAATATAAGGTAAATATTTTTCAAAGAATAAAAACAAAGATGATGATACGACATATAAACTTATTCATGCAAACACCCCTTTCAAAGATATGAGTGCTCGTGGATGAGTAATTAGAGGATACAGGTTTATGTTATGTTTGTGGATACGAAAATGTTCGCGTCCACACGCAGCGTATTCGAATCGTTTTCGAATCGTTTTTACTGATGCACGCTAGTGCCTAGTCCCTTTGACGGAACGTTTTTCTAATTGAGCATGCGCAAAATCGTGTTTACGTCAGCGTATTCGAAAATTTCCACTCTGGAGAGACCGTTTTCGAAAATTTGCGGATACGAATACAAAAATTTCCGGACACGTGTGGACGCAACCCTTATCCGCAAAAAAAAATTTGCGGGTACAAAAATTTCCGGATGCGTGTGGACGGGGCTTTATTGATACAGTTTTCAAGCTGGGGATGTGTATATAATATGATAGACATCACATGGCAGGAACCTGGAAGTAAGCAAAGATTTAACGGAGTTTACTATCAAAGAACTAAAAAAGCAGCTCAAAGAAAGAAAACATAAGTAAAAGT